TATAATAAAAGCAAAACAAAAAAAATAACCACTTTATGCGTTGAGATATATATATTATAATATTCCACAGTGTTGAATATCGTAGCTCATATATGGATTTTTGAGACACAAGAAATTTTCAAAACTTGTTCAAAGTACTGATTGATACTTGTTAGATATAAAAATTAAAGTTATTTTTTAAATTTATTTAAAGTTATTTTATTAAGTTTTCTATAAAATGAAATCTCATTATCGAAATTATTAATCTTCAAATAGAATAGCCAAAATAATTAATATTGCTGAAAGAATCAGAATTGAAAATGTGATTTAATTTTCTGATTTAGCAAAATAAGAAAAAATTAATATATAGAATAAAAAAATTATATTTAAATTAAATTTCTTCATACAAACAAAAAATATTTAAATAATCAAATTTTATGAAAAAAATCTTAATCTTTTATCAATTTTTAATTAATTTGTTTCTTTAATTTTTTCAAAAAAATATAATCATAAGAATTTTAATATGTTATTAAAACTTTTAATGTTAAAAATATTGATTCTTTTTTTTATTTTAAGCTATTTAAATTGGATTTAAATTGGACATCATTATATATAGAATGAAATTAGCAAATACATTATGAAAATAACAATTATTTTCACAAAGTTCATTAATTCTTCATGGCAAAAACTATGATTGAATGACTTTTTGCAAACATAACATTCATTAACTGTCTCTTTCCAATTTTTAGTGATTAAAATTAAATATAATAATAATAATAATAATTAATATGATATAATAATTAAATAATTTATATATAATAATTAAATATATATTATAACTCAATAATTTTTAATAATAATTTAAATTTCTCAATAATTATTTGCATTCATTTTTCTATTTTAATCTTTAGATTTATATTACATATAACTATACATATAACTCAAGAATAAAAATAAATAATATTTTAAAAATATTATTCTTTTAAATTTTTATTTACTGTTTTTATAATAATATCAATTATTATATAATTTTTTATTAATATAACTTTTATAATTTAATATTTTTTTTTGAAAAATTAATTTAAGTTTAAAAAAGTACAATTCTAATTCTGAAGAATTTATATAAAAAGTATTTTATTTTAAATTATTTATAATATTAGATAAGAAAACAATAATAATAAATTAATTATAATTATTTTTAATAGAATACTAATACTAATACTAATACATCATATAATATTTTATTTTATATTTTATTTTATTTTTTTTTATAATCTATTAATTTGAATTTTATTATTGAATTATTATTTTATTGAAAAATGAAAATGTAATCTAAATATATCTTTGTAATACTTAAAAAAAAATGAAACAATTATAGAAAATAATATTTTTATATTATTATTTAATAAAAAATAATATAAATATTTTATATAGAATCAGAATAAATATTAAATATCTTAATAATTAAAAACTATATATTTTTATTAAAATTTGAGTTCTACAATTGAATTATAAATTGAAAATTTTTGAAATAATTTATATTACTATATTATATTTATTTTTAATAATCTATATTTATTTCTAAATTTTCCAATTAATTTTTATTTTCATCAAACATGTATTCTTTTAATAAATTCTTTATCCAAAAAATTTTTTTTAAATATTATTTTAATTACAAAAAAATTTTCAAAATTTGTTTAAAATTCAAGATTTGAAAATATAGGTTTTTAGATAAATAAAAATAAATACTTTTAATTGTTTAACTGATATAAGATACAATTGCAAATAAATTTTTCTTATTTTTTTTATATATTTTTTATTTTTTTTAATAGTAAAAAAAATAATATTTTAAATATATATTACAATAAATAAATCTGTTATAGAATTTAAAGTTCACTGAAATTTTATATGTGATTTCATTATTGAATGTTGGCAGCAACATTACTATTTCATAGTTGGTAGCTATTTGTTTCTCTTCGATACACATTCATCATTTCAAATGTTTTATAAACAGATACGCGCAATCACGTATAATCAAATATATTCATTCAGCTAAACTCATATATTTTTATTTATTGTTTTCCACTGCCCAGTCAACAGGTTACGGGCCCAGATTACGAAAGAAACAATAAATAATTAAGTAAAGTACAATTAAATTGAAAAAGCACGTGGGTTTGTTATCCGGTCTTGAGCAAACGTGAAATATAACCCCAATCGTGATGGAGTACGAAACTGTTCGTATTAATAAGCTGAAAGGATTGGAAAATTGGGCCTCATGGAAATTTCAAGTGCGCGTAATTTTGAAATCCTGCGGTGCATGGGAAATAGTTACAGGTGAATCAATTCTTCCTGTACCAGGAGATGATCGGCAAATCGAGCACGCGCTGCCTGGACAAAACTCGACAGTACAGCTCAACGCATAATCGCCACATCAGTGGATGAAAAACCACTTTTGCATATTATCAATTGTGAATCGGCTAAGGATATGTGGAAAAAGCTGGAATCTGTTTACAAACAAAAATCTGATACTAGTATACACATGCTGTCGCAGCAATGGTATAATTATCAGAAGGAATTGAGCGATGATGTCGCTACTCGCATCGTAAAAATCGAGAATCTTGCACATCGGCTACAAACTTTGGGTGAGAAAATTCCAAATCAAATGATTATTACTAAAATACTCATGACATTATCTCCATCATTCAAATATTTTATTAGTGCGTGGGAATCAACTCAACCCAACGAAAGAATTCTCACAAATCTTATTTCAAGGCTCACCATTGAGGAAACAAGGATAGGAACCGAAGAAAGGGCAGAGAACATTGCTTTTACTGCCAATAAGCATCAATACAAGAAAAATTTCAAAAAAGGCAACGTTAAACCAGGCGTATGTCATTATTGCCACAAACCAGGGCATTGGATCAAGGAATGTAGAAACCGAAAAGCAGCAAATGAAAAATACAAAGGAAGGAAAGAAGAGGCACTCATTGGAGCCATGTCTGCAGAATATAATTTAGAAACATCCAATGATGCGTGGCACATGGATTCAGGTACGATTGAGCACAAGTCAAATCGTCGCGAATGGTTTTCGTCGTATAAAAAATTTGACACAGTAGAGAATATTAAGATAGGCGATATATTAAGATAGGCGGAAAATATATTGAAGCAATTGGATCAGGAGATATCGACATTCTTGCTTTTAATGGAAAAGAGTGGGTGCGAAAGTACCTCAGTAATGTTTTTCACGTACCAGAACTAAGTTTCAATCTTTTTTCGGCGGGTGCAGCTCTTGACAAGGGACTGCGACAATACTCCGATGATAAAATATGCATATTCATGAAGAATGGAAATATTGTTGCAGCGGGAGAAAGAAAAGGTAAGTAATTCGTAATGAAATTTAAAGTCATTACAGACGAGCATCAGGCAAATGTAGCAGTGCGCAATTCTCTTTTCTTTTTTCTCCTGGCATAAACGAATGGCTCATCAGAATGTGGATCAGGTGAAGAAAATTCTAAAATCCGAGAACATCATTTATAAGGATCAGAAATTTTCTTGCGAAGATTGCATTTTAGGAAAAATGCACAGACTACCATTCCCAAAAAGCGATACAAAATCTGAACGCATTGGAAACTCATCCATGCAGATCTTTCAGGTCCAAATGCAAGAAAATTCGCTTGGAGAAGCTCGATATTTCTTAATGTTGAAAGATGACTACAGTCACTGGAGAAGTTTATATTTTATCAAAAATAAATCAGAGACATCACAATGTCTAGAGGATTTCTTCAAGAAGACTGATAAGCATTTAGAAAAAGGAATCAAGATCTTCAGATCAGATAATGGTCTTGAGTTCGTCAATAAAGAAATTGAGGAACTAACACGTCGATATAGCATTACGCATCAGAAAACAGTACCATTTACTCCGGAACGGAACGGTTGCGCCGAACGAGAAAATAGAAATGTAGTTGACTTAGCGAGAACGTCGTTACATGCAGGAAAATTACCAATCAAAATGTGGACTGAAGCAGTTAATTACGCTGTTTATACTTTAAATAGAACCGGAACCAGTGGAAAGAAAGGAGTAATACCTATTGAACTGTGGCTCAAGAAGAGACCGAACATTTCAAGTCTCAGAACCTTCGGAGAAGAAGTATATTTTCATATCCCTAAAGAGAAGAAACGAAAATGGGATGTCAAAGCCGAAAAAGGCATTTTCGTCAGATATGATGAAAACACAAAAAGATTCCGGATCTGGCTTCCTGAAAGAGGACAAGTTAAAATACATAGGGATGTAAGATTCACAGATCAGCTTTACGAAATTAATTCAAATGAAAAATGGGAATCAGAATCAAACTTTAAACTTTGAACATCAAAAAGATGACACAATAAATGTCGAATCAAAAACCGTTATTCAGTCAGAAAACAACGAACAAGTACATTCAGATTTGACGTCAAGACAGCTTTTCTTCATGGAGAACTCGACGAGGTCATCTATATGCAGCAATCAAAAGGATACAAGGATGGAACCAACCGTGTTTGCAAGCATCGTAGTTTATATGGTCTAAAGCAAGTATCAAGATGTTGGAATCATCGTTTTATAGCATCGTTTTACTGAAGAAGCGTCTCACGTCCACCAATGCAGACTATTGTGTATTTATGGACAAATGGAAACAATAGAGACCGACTGATTTTAGCAATTCATATCGATGATGGACTAACTAGTGCAACAAACCAATCATCTATAAAAAATCTATAAAAAAGTTGTTAGCTGAATTCCGTAAAGAATTTGAAGTAACATCCAATGAGATAAATACATATTTGGGATTACAGATTGAGCGACTAGCAGATAGTTCTATATTTTTGCATCAGGAGGCTTACACCAAGAAAATTTTGCAACGATTTCGGATGGAAAATGCCAATGCAGTAGCAATCCCAGCAGACAAAAACCATCAACTGTGCGTGGAGGCACATAAAAGTGGGTACAAGGAAAAATCCGAGTTCCCATATCGACGGTAGGAAGTTTAATGTATTTGTCAGTGGGCACTAGACCAGACATAACATTTGCAGTAAACAAAGTCAGTCAATATTTAGAAAAATCCAATAAAATTCACTGGAATGCAGTAAAGAGAATTTTTAAGTATCTAAAGGGAACAACAAAATACGGTATTCATTATTCAACTCAACAGAATAATCATATTAAAGCATTCAGCGATGCAGATTACGCTGGAGACACTGAAACGAGGAAGTCCACTACTAGTTTTGTATTAAAACTAGGCGATTCCGCAATAGCTTGGGGGTCAACACGACAGCAAACAGTAGGTCTATTCACTACTGAAGCCGAATACATAGCAGTTAGTCAAACTGTAAAAGAGATCATATGGATGAAAAGTTTGATTAATAATCTAGTCATGTTCAAGAACATTACAACGACTCTTTACGTGGATAATTTGAGCGCAATCAAGCTTATTAAAAATCCAGAATTTCATCGAAAAAGTAAGCATATTGACGTGCGTTATCACTTTATACGAAACAAATTTAAGGAGAAGGAGTTTCTTCTGCAACATATAGCATTGAAAGATCAGCAGGCAGACTTATTAACAAAACCTCTAAGAAGAACAATATTTGAAATACAAAGAAATCGATTGAATATCAAGAGTATCGAAGACATGATAGACACATAGAACTGTAACACTCAACATAATAAATATACACACACTAAACAAATTTCAGTTCACTTTTAGTGGGAGTGTTATAGAATAAAGTTTACTGAAATTTTATATTTGATTTCATTATTGAATGTTGCCAGCAACATTAGTATTTCATAGTTGGTTAGCTATTTGTTTCTCTTCGATACACGTATTTCAAATGTTTTATAAACAGATACGCGCAATCACGTATAATCAAATATATTCATTCAGCTAAACTCATATATTTTTATTTATTGTTTTCCACTGCCCAGTCAACAAAATCTATTTAATCATTAAATACTTTTGTAAGAAATGTTTCATTTTAATATAAAAAAAAATATTTCAAATAATATTACTTTGAATAAGTAGCTTTTAATTTTATCATTATTATATTACTATATGATATATTGAAATTATATTGAAATTATTGTATACATATATATCCAAAATTATGGATTTTCATAAAAATATACAATTTTCATACTATATTTTGCATCAGAATTTTAGTTCAGAATACGAATAAAATTATTTATAATATTTAACTATCAAATAATATATAAAGAAAAATATATTTATTTATATTCTTTATGGAGAAAAATATATATATAAATATATATATATAATATATAATATTATTATATATAATTATATATATTATTATTATACATATATATAATTAATATATATATATATATATATTGTTCAATTTAATGATTATAAAAAGGAATAAGTACATAAAAGAAACATTATATTATATATATATACTGTATGTATATATAATATACTATTTCGTGTAAATTAATAATTTTTATTTAAAAAAAAATAAAAGATACTTTTAATTAATAAAAATTAAAAGATTGATAATTTTAATTAATAAAAAATAAAAGATTAGATAATTTTTAACGATTTTAAATGAATTATTTCTTTTTTAGTTTTTTTATAATATTTTAATATTAAAGAAAAAATTTTTTTTTCGTATCTAATGTATTTTTTTAACTTTATATATTTTAAACGTATTTTTCTAGTTAAATCTTACTTTTTATAATTAAAGATCTGCTTAAAATTTTTATATAAAATAAATGTTATTTTGTTTTATGTTTTTTTAATAGCACAATGTTTCATTTTTATTTTAGTTTATTCTGCATATATGTATAGTAGAATTTTTAATATCTGAACTAATAGAGAAATAAAAATATTTGGAAGAAAAGAATCTTCGGATTATAAAATATAGATTTCTCTTAAATGAATTTTTTTTAATGAAATCAATTTTTTATTATAAAACTAAAGATCCAATACTTTTTTAAAAAATGTTTTCAAATTACAAATTACAAATTTTTTTAATATATAAAGAAATATACGTTATAAATAATCTTTCATTTTACTCTTCTGTTTTTTAATATTAATAATTTTTTAATTTTTCAATATTATTTACTTTTGTTTTTATATTTCTTTTTTATACTACGCTAATAATTCTATAACACTCTTATCATTTTCTAGTTTTTTAATTCTGAATTCATTTTAATATTTAATTATAGATTAATTATAAATATATATTATGTGAACATATCAAATTAAAATTTATTTCCAATACTATGATAAGCAAAGATATTTATATTGTTGTGAGAAAAAATAATACACAATTCAGATAATATAATTCGATTATTAGAATGTTCGGATATTAAATTATATTTAATTTAATATAATTAATTATATTAATATTAATTATTCCAAGAATAGATTTTCAGGATAAGATTATATGGTATATATAGAAGTATAATGAAGATTCTACTTATTATATGTATGATATTATATTATATATGATATATTGATATTCATTTAAAACATATACATACATCAATGATTATTAATTTCTGAATATTATATATTGTTAAAATAACAATTAAAGATAAAATACAATTTTGAAGTTTTATTGACTCATAACAACAGCGATTAAAATATCAGACCATACTTTTCTAAATACAATAATAGTACAGTTAATAAATTAAATGAATATTTTGAAATAAAATCTAATAAATAAACAAGAAAAATTATTATAAAAAGTGATTATGAGAAGTTAGATTTTATTTTATTTCAATATATATATATATTAATTCACTATTACGAATTATTTTTTGTTTGATAACTATATTAATTTATTGTAATTATTGCATGCATTTAGAAATTTTATTTATATAATTTCGTTATAATTACATTATTTTAATATTTTAATTATTTTTATAAAATACATATTTGTTATTCGCAAAATATTTAAGATTATTTATTAGATATATAAGATTAATTATTTAGAAAGAATATGTATTAAATATCCAAATAGGCAATAATATATTTATTATAAAAAAATACAATATATATTATCAATTATAAATTTAATAAAAATAAATTTATCAAAAATTTTAAATATCTTAGAAATTAAAATCGAACGTAGTAACAAAAAAAAAAAATTATTCAGAATAATGATAACATTTTTAAAGATCATTGAAATAAACAAAAAAAATCCTTTTTAAATAATAGGCATTCAAAATATTCATATTTCAGTTTTTTAATATCTTTTCTAATTTATCTAAAATTTTCTTCAGTTTTGTTATTTTTCAGTCTTATAAAAGAAAGTCTTTCTTGTCCAATATAAAATTTTTTTATTTTCGTTGCAAAGGCAAAAAAAAAATGTGAGTGACATCCAAAAGTGATATCTTTGATGTATGAATAATAAAAGAAGAAAGATAGGAAAGAAAATAAACAAGAAGAAAAATAGACAACAGAGCAGATAGATGGAAAGAGAAAGATGAGATAATTGGCACCAGCACTAATAGTTTCATAATAGATAAAGATTGTTTAAAAGACGTGCTTCTAAGCCTAATCGCTGTTATTGTTTAATTACTCGAATGTATATCGACAACCAAAATATATTGAAAACATAGAAAAAAAATCGGCATCAAAAACGATCTATCTTCAAGATCAAATGAAAAATTGAATGCATCATAATCGAGCCTTTCAAAATGATTTTGTACGTGAGATTGAATGAAGATATATGTGTTTGGATATTAGTTTTATTCTGACTATTTTTCTAAATTATAATTTTATTAAATTATAAAAAATTCATTAAAAAATTTTAAAAATACTAAGATATTTAAACAAAGCTAGAAATATCAATAATAGAATTTAAGTATATACAATATATATTTTGAATCAAATTTCTGTCATTTAAAATAATTAAATTGAAATAATAAATATGATATATTTTTAATATATTTTAATATATCTTTTAATATATTTTTAATATATTTTTAACTGAATATTTTTAAAATAAACAATAATAAAAAATTATTATCATAATATAAATAATAATATTATAAATATATATATATATTATTAAATCAATCTATAATACAAATTAATTTTATAAATGAAATTCTAATTTAATTTTTTAGGTCGTAATTTGATTTTAAAATACAATAGAAATAACAATATAATTGAATCTTTTAATTATAACTGTTTATTTGTTAGTTATTTAAGAAATTTATTTAAAAATATATTATAAATATCTCATATTTTATTTTTAACCATCTTTAATGTTATAGAAAAAAATTAATTTAAAATATATATACATGAATTGCGTCGATATCTTTTTAATTTTGATTAATCTTTAAATTAACTTGCAATGAACATACTTAAGTTATAATATAAATATTAATAAATGTATAAAATATAATTGAATAATTAATGTTGTCATTAAAAATTTATATAATTATATAATATTTAACAAAATGAAATTATTATTTTTTGAATTAATGTAATTATTATAAAATTTAATTATTTCAAATAGTATATATATAAATATATTTATAAGAATATAAGTATATATTATTAATTATATAAATAATAATTTTTAATAATTGTTTTAAATTCTTTTAAAATTTTTGTGTATTTATATTATTAATTTCCTTTTCTTTGAATTTTTAAAAAGGATGAATATTTTATAAATTGTAACAAATTTTTAATAATTTTACAAATTTTATGTAAAACATATAACAATAATATGACATATTATTCTGAATATATAATATTTCTAAATATATAATTTTTTAGTTCAGTCACTCTTTCCAATTCATTTATATTCGACTTTGTATATATTTTCTTTTGTAACAGAATTTTAGTATTTATTATATTAAATTCAATTCATACTATTTTATTATCCATGTATGATATATATAAATGTTTGATTGAGTAGTATGAAATTTGTATTTTTGTTTAGTGAGATCACTTATGAAATAAGATTTAAATTTTTTAATAACTATGGTCAAATGAAAATTGTATAACATTGTTGAAGATTTAAAAATAAAATCAGAAATATATATGGAATAATATAGACAGATATTGATTATTTCAATTATAAAAATTTTTTCTAACTAATATATAAAATATTTCATAAAATAGATTATATTTGATTATATAATTCTTTTAAAAATTAATAATAATGATATATGTTACATAAAATAATTTTAAAATAATTTTAATATTTTAATTATACTTATTAATACTTTTCTCTTATATATTTACAAACAAATATACAAAATATTGAGCAAATTTAGTAAACAAAATATATAAATTTAAAATATTATAAAAAAAATATTTCATACATTTTCAATCGATATATTAAACTTTCAAGAATTTTTTATTTCAATTTGTATAAGTTCCATTCATTTTTGTTCTGTTATAATAATAAATGTACGACATTGAATTTAAAAAAAATTTTAAAAACTTTATACTTCAAGAACATATTTGATTAAGTATAATTGGATAAGATTGACAAAACAAATAAAATGATAAATAAGAAAATTGATAAAATGTTTTTTCTATTTGATTTCTTCGAATTTTATTTTCTCAAATTCATATATTTATTTAATATCATTATTTAACAATTTTATAAAACCATTTTAGAACATTTTAATATTTATATTTAAATTATAGAATCGTTA